AAGACAGGCATATGAGTTGAACATTTACCTGAGGTAGATACACTTCTTGGAGAGAACAATCATGGGAGAAAGAAGGGCTGCTTATGCACAGGGAGACAGCCCAGCGGACAGGAGTGCATGGAGGGATGACGCAGGGAAGAGGTAACTATTGGGAGGAAATATGAGGGGAGATGTTGCATTGTGGTAAATTGTGGTCAATATCATGAGACAAAGTGTAGGTGAACTGCTGTATGGAAAGTGAATTTGCTCTGTAAATTTTCACCCAAATCACAGTAAAAAAAAAAGTATTTAAAAAAAAAATCCCAAATCTTATCAAGTGAGAAGACTTCCTTGATTCCTAGATAATAAAAACTGAATGTCATAAAAATGCCAGTTTTCCACGCCTCTGATACTGTGGACCCTAGCCACCCTTCAGGTCTGGACTTGAACTCCCTCCTGTGGCTTCCAGCCAAACAATAGACAGGCATATTTATATCAGATAGATAAGCTACTTGGATTGATCAGTCATGAGAGAAAAGGGCAGTGTTTGCGCGGGGGGACAGCTAGGTGTGTGGGGGGGTAGGAGTGCATGGGAGGGAAGGACCTAGGGAAGAGGTAACTATGGGAAAGAAGTAGGAAAAGACCTTAATTACATTGTGGGGAATTGCAGTCAATGTCATGAGACAAAATGTGTATGAACGGCTGTATGGAAAATGAATTTGCTCTGTAAACTTCCATCCAAATCACAATTAAAAAATACATGTATATATCAGTTGCCTTCAAATTAATATATATGGAATTCCAGTTAAAATCCATCTTTTAAAATTATTTTAAGTTTATATGGAACTTCTGACCGCACACCTGTAGTCCCAGAAATGTGATTATATTGCGTCCCATTTACTGTATCCAATTTCTTCTTCCAGAGCAGCTAAGAAACATAATCGTAAAAACAGACTAGCCAAACAATAAAGCATACTACAAATACAATATAATAAAAATAACCTGATGACATAGAACTAGACATATCACTAGACCCAAATAGAGATCACAGAAATAGGTACCCATGTGTATGGGAATTTTATATATGAAAAGGCAACATTTCATTTTAGTGAAAAAGAATAGTTTAATTAGTAATTCTGTTATAGCTTATTATCATCTTGAAAAAGAATATCTCACCCTAATTTAAAGCAAATTTCTAATAAATTATATTATGTATTTATTAATACAGCAATATTTAGGTGACATCTGACCAAGGATGGGGGAATCTGTTCAGCCAAGACAAGAAACTGAAAAATTGTCATAAAATCTGGAATTTTTCAACTATTTGAAAACCAAAACTTTCATATGTTGAAAGAAACCAAAGATTTGAAAAGTAATTAGAAACAAATATGCAATGAATGCAGTTGTCAGATAAAAGGTTACTGTGATAGACAAAGAGCTTTGCAAATTGATTAAAAAGACTTCCCAGTAGGAGCTCTGGTAGCATAGTGCCTAAGGCACTTGACTGCTAACCAGAAGGCTGGCAGTTCAAACCCACCAGCCACTCCTTGGAAGGAAGATGGGGCAATCTACTTCCGTAGTGATACTGCCTCAGAAACCCAAGGAGGGGTTGCTGTGAGTTGGGTCTGACTCAACGGCACATAACAACAACAGTAGAGAAGTGGGTAAAAGACATGAATGACAATTCATAAGGCAAAGATAATCAAATAGCTAATAAATACTTTTAAATATATTGATTTTTCCAGTGGTTTTTTTTTAAAAAAAAAAAAAAAACTCACTGCCTTTGAGTCGATTCCACTCAGCAACCCCACCTGGGGTTTCTGAGGCAGTATCTCTGCAGAAGTAGATTGCCCAATCTTCCTCCCAAGGAATGGCTCGTGGTTTGAACCACCTGCCTTCTAATTAGCAGTCAGATGCCTTAGGCACTACACCAGAAGAGCTCCTTTCCAGTGGTTAGAAAGTGTAAATTGAAATGAAAGAGTAGTTATTTCTCAACCATCAGATTGACAAAAAGTGGAAATGGGTTTTATAATACTCTATTTAGATAAAACAAGCCAAAAATTACCTAAGTACCAACCTTAAATATATGTATACTTATGTTTCTATATGATTATATAAGCATAGACGTTGCTAAATATGATTACCAGGGATTTCACCCAAACTGGATAAAACAAGACACTTTGAGACACCCAGGAAAGACACTTGAAGTGTGCCTCAGCTATTTCCTTAACATTACTGGTTAAAGATTGTAACTAGACTCATAAGGAAGGAGAATAAGAGACTACTTCTGATGTCATCCTGTCTTTTATGTTTAAATGTACATATGAATATGTAGAAAACCATACTGACTTCTTATTAAAAAAAAAAAAGGAAACTCTTATTATTTTAATTTCAGAGTTCTTTTTTGTGCTCTTTTTTTAGACCATAGTTTAAACATTAGTGTTAGCCTCCCTCTTCCAACTTATTCTCTCCTCTTAAATGACTTGTGGTGGTAATTTTTTTTTTTTTTTTAATTGTGATTTGGGTGAAAGTTTACAGAGCAAATTCATTTTCCATACAGCCATTCATACACATTTTGTTTCATGACATTAACTGCAATTCCCCGCAATGGAACAGCTCTCTTCCCACTCGCTTCCTGTAGTTCCCTCTTCCCTATGCATTCCTTTTTCCTGAGCTACCTCCCTGTGTAAATACTGCCCTCTGTTCTCCCATGATGAATCATTCTAAGGAGTGTATCTACCTGATGTAAATGTTCACCCCTTATGCCTGTCTGCTGTTTGGCTGGAAGTCTGAAACTCAATTCCAGATGTAAACTAGGGGCCATAGTCTTGGGGGTCTCACCAGGCTCAATCAGACCAGCAAGCCTGGTCTTTTTTATGATTGTGAGTTTTGTTCCACATTATTCTCCCACTATCCAGGATCTCATGCATTGTGATGCTCTTTTACTTATTCATGGGTATGGGTTCTCATGCAGATTAGGTTGTTGGGATCTTTCACATGGTGATTTGATAGGTGAGAAGTATGATCATTTTTGTCTTACTGAGTAGTCTGTAAACCAAAAAAACCAAATCCAAAGCCATCGAGCCAATTCTGACTCATAGCAATCCTCACTGGGTTTCTGAGGCTGTAAATCTTTACAGAAGTAGGGTGCCTCATCTTCCTCCCATGGAACAGCTGGTAGGTTTGAACCACCTACCTTCTAGTTAGGAACCAAATGCCTTACCCACTATGCCACCAGAGCTCCATGAGCAGGTTGTAAAAAAAAAAAAAAAATGAAAAATCACTTCTGTCGAGTCGGATCCAACTCATAGCAACCCCTCCTTGGGTTTCTGAAGCGGTATCGCTACGAAAGTAGATTCCCTTACCTTCCTTCTGAGGAGTGGCTGATGGATATGAACCACCAGCATTCTGGTTAGCAATCAAAAAGTAGTTGGTAAATATGTTGAGGATAGAGCCAACAAGATCTGCTGATGAATTGGATGTAAGATTTGAGAGAGTTTGTAATGCTTGGGTTTGAAACTTGAGCTAGAGAAATGGAATTGTCCTTTACTAGCTGGAGAATACTACATGTAGGGAAGAGCAGGACCTCAAATTTGGACAAGTAAAGATTGAAAAGTGTCTAAGTGTCAGGTAGGCTGTAGGAGTATAAGTGTGGATATTTGAGAAAAGGATTGAGCTAGAGAGATATATTTGGGAGTTATTAAAATATAGATGGCATTTAAAGCCATGAGACTAAATGGGTATATAACGCAAACGCGACACATTGCTGTGGAGTCAGATCTAACTCATAGGGACCCTTCCTTGGGTTTCTGATGCAGTATCACTACAGAAGTAGATTGCCTAGCCAATAAGAATCTGTTGTTTTGGTTATCTACTGCCGCTGTAATAAAGAATACCACAAGTGGATGGCTTTAACAAAAGGATTTATTCTCTTATAGTTTAGGAAGCTAGAAGTCCAAGTTCAAAGTGCCAGTTCTAGGAGCTGAGTGACGGCCCCTTGACCTTGGGCTTCAGTTCTGCCTCTTGCTCCTGGCCCACTGAAGCTGGAGGTATCTCTTGACCAAAGCAGCTGCTGGTTAGTGAGGCAGACAAACCCAAGGTTGACAGGTAAAATGGTACAGTCCCAAAATTATCAAGCAATACAGCAGGCCACTAGTTCAAGTCCAGAAACAGTCTCAAGATCAACAGACAACATGGCAGGCCATTGAGATGAAGGCTCGGCCAAATGCAGGATCCAGATGTGCCAAAAAGCTCAGAGGTCTTTCTCACGACTTCTCCTTTTGTACTAGAAGCAGACCACATCCCTCAGGCAACTGCTCAGCTGCTCACAACAGATTCCACCATGGAGTTGATCACTAGTCTCATCATGGGGAATAACTACATCCTGCTGCCCAGCCAGTTAAAACCAGGTCCACCCAAGTTGACATGTAACTACCACACCTTAAAGGGCCAAATCCTGGGGAATTTCAACATTTAAAAGTAAGAGAAATGATTGGATATAAGAAAAAAAGGCATTAGAGATAACTTAGAGGCTTTGAGTTAGAAGTAACTATAAGGCATTATTGTTAATAGGAAAACTAAAAAAGAGACTTAGTTCAAGAAGAATGATAAATTTAGTTTTTAACAAGAAGATTTTGAGATGCTGACCCAAAACTCAGACATAGATCTTTAAGAGATAGATACCTGCCACTGGGTCTAGTCCAGCTTGTGAACCTATCAGAATAAAATGTTGCCCAGTTCTGCATCATCCTCACAATCACCAGCATGTATGAGTCCATCACTGTAGCTGTTGTGCCAACCCATCTCAATGAAGGTCTCCTTTGCCTTTGCTGGCCCTCTGCTTTACCAAACATGGTATCATCCTCTAGCAATTGATCCCTTCTGATGATGTATCCAAAGCAAGCAAGTCAAACAGTGTTCTGTTGTGATCCATAATGTTTTCATTGGCTAATTTTTGAAAGTGCATTACCAGGCCTTTCTTCCTAGTCTGTCTTAGTTCTCGAAGATCTGCTGAAACCTGTCCACCGTGGGTAACCCTTCTATTAATTGAAATAATGGTGGCATTACCTCCAGCATTACAGTAACATACAAGCTACTACAATGTAACAAACGGACAGATAAATGATACCAAGAAAAAAAAAAAAACACTGTCACTGAGTCGGTTCTGACTCACAGTGACCATACAGGACAGAGTAGAACCATCCCATAAAGTTTCCAAGACTGTAAATCTTCACAGAAGCAGACTGTCTCGTTTCTCTCCCATAGAGCAGCTAGTGGGTTTGAACCACCGACCTTTTGGTTAGCAGCCGAGTGCTGACAGATAAATGATAGAGATCCTTAATAAGTGAGTGGAAGTAGGGTCTAATTCTCAGAATTTAGTCTGTAAACAGAGATGTAATTTGGGATTTCTTTCCACAGGGGAGATGATAGGAATCATAAAAGGAGTTAAAATTACCAAGAAAATGAGAAAAAAGGCACACAGTAGGCAAAACCTAAGGGATATATACATTTTAGGGTACAAGACAAATTATATATGGAGAAAATATTAAAGTTGTCAGGAATTTCATTTTACTTGGATCCAGGAGTCATTGTCCATAAAAGCAGCAGTGTCAAATCAAATGACATGTATTGCATTGGGCTAACCTGAAAAAGACTTTTGTTGTTATGTGCTGTTGAGTCGGACCCAACTCATAGCGACCCCTCCTTTGGTTTCCGAGGCAGTATCACTACGGAAGTAGATTCTCCAACCTTCCTTCCGAGGAGTGGCTGGTGGGTTTGAGCTGCCAGCCTTCTGGTTAGCAATCAAGTGCCTTAGGTACTCTGCTACCAGAGCTCCCAAAAAAGACCTCTAAAATTCTAAAAAGCAAAGATGTCACTTTGAGGACTAAGGTGTCTCTGACCCAAGCCATGGTGTTTTCAGTTATACGCATGGCAAAAGCTAGACAGTGAGTAAGGAAGACTAAAGAAGAATTGATGCTTTTGAGTTATGGTGTTGGTGAAGAATATTGAATATACCATGGATTGCAGAAGAACAAATAAATCTGCCTTGGAAAAACAGCCAGAATCCTCTTTGTAAGTGAAGATGGTTAGCCTTCCTCTCATGTACTTTGGATATGTTACCAGGAGGGACCAGTCATGCTTGATAAATTAAAATGTCAACAAAAAAGAGAAAGACCCTCAACTAGATGGGTCTTCCTCTTTTCTGACACAGTGGCTACAGTAACAATGGGCTGAAACAGCAACAATAGTGAGGATGGCGCAGGACCAGACAATATTTCATTCTGTTGTATGTAGGGTCACTGTGAGTTGGAGCTGACTCAGCATCACCTAACAACAACAACAAGGATACAAGAGGGGAAAGACAATTTGTGAAGAACAGTAAGAAGGTTAGAGAGACAACCAAGATAATGCCATGTCATAAAAAAGAAGCTGTGTAGTCATAATTAGGGCATAATGCAAAGAGGCTGAAACTTAAGAAAAAGTCATGGTGGCAGAGAATAGATGATTAAAACCAAGACTCAAAGAATGCTGGCAGAACCAGGATTCAAATTGGATCTCCTGGCTTTTTTTTTTTTTTTTAAATGCTTGTTTTAATTTTTTTATTTTTGGTGAGATATATTTCTTAAAATACTGTGTTATATATAACAAGTATATAAATTAAGGCAACTGCATTGAATTAAATTGTGACATTACAAATATAAGAATAATCTCAGTTTTTGTAAAGTAAAATTCGCTAATAATTTTTCTAGAATTAAGTGTAATAATATTTAATAATAATTAAATATTTAGTAAGCAATGATAAGAGAACTAGCTGTTCTTTATTGTAGGTTACAGGATGTGCATCTGTCACTTACCTTGTCGACCAATCAAACCAAATATTGGAGAACAGGTAAACAGAAATTTATTTATTTATTTATTTTCTATTTTTAAATTTAGCCCTCTTTAAAGAAAGTACAATTTTTACTTGCTTGGTTTTGCATGTGGTTTACTTTAGGATTCAGATTTTATGCATCAGTTCACACTCATCCTTCCTATTATTTTTTTTTTAAAGTTTACAAAAGACAGAATCAAGAAACTTTCTGAAATCTTAACTTCTTTAAAAGTACGTATGTTACTTTGGTTAGGCCCGTTTGGGAAAACAAAGAATGAAATACTTTTTAGTGATACTATCCTGAATGTTTACTAGCTTTAATGAGTCTTCATTGTTAAGTTTTCTTTGGGGTGACTAAAAACAGGAAAGTTTTTAGATAGGAAAAAAGTGATAGTCCTAAGCAGTAGTTAGGACAGTGCCCGGTCCATCACACCCTATTCAAGATTTCTTGAATATGATAACCACTGTACAGGAAGGAACCCTTGCAGTGTTCTTGACTATTTATTCACAATAAGGTCCAAATTAAATAGGAGGTAAAAGCACTAAGAGTAAAAGGCATCAAGACTGATAGCTTTCTTTTGGGAAGTCATAAAAAAAGCCACTAGACTGGTGTTTTGTTCTCAAATTAAGAAATTATGAAGTGAGAATTTTTTACTTGGGAGAGTATACCTTTTGTTACGTCCCTAACATTCAGTGGATTGCTAGAAGTGGCTCAAATTTTCAGAAATCTTATAAGCAGGTTGTTAGACATTAAAAATTACTGCTTACCTAGCATTAAAAATTAAATTACATAAATTTACAATGAAATTCATTACATTAAAATCAAAGATAACAAATACTCAAAATTTACTACTCTTTATTTTACTATTAACATATGTCCTCTTTTGGTTGGTGGAAATGCTCTATTATGGTACAATACTGTACATCTCTTCCTAAATTCTCATTTAGTGAAGTCACATTGGTCACTTGAAATCTGTCACAATTGTAGCTTGAAATCAGCCACAGTGGACCTGTTTATACCACAGAAATCTGCAAATGCTGCAAATCGGAGCTTTATTTTTCTAGAGAGCTAGTTGATAAATATTTACCAATATATCATTGCTAACATTACACCATTTGTAATTGCAGGTTATAGAAAATAGTGTACATTTGTTTGCTGAATGGAATGAATAAGGAAAATAGACTTGTAGCTGATTTTAAAGTAAGGTTTAAAATCATGTAAATATAGGTAAGGAAGTGTAAAGATCCTTACGAAGTCACTTGGCAAAATTAATACTATAAAACACATGACATCCTAGTATACTTAAATTTGCAGACTTAACACTCCATTTATGTCTTAGTAACTTACTTATTTTAATTAAATTCTCTATTTAATAGATATCCAGTAAAATGGGCGCCCATTATCATTGCGTCATTTGTTCAGCAACAATCACCCGAAGGACTGATATGTTAGGACATGTTAGGCGCCACGTGAATAAGGGAGAGACTAAATCCAGGTATTTTGCTGGTAAGTTGAGCAATCTTACTAGTATATTGGGTCTTTTTTTATACATTAGGCAGATAAAATGTAGTGATTTAACCAAATCATTTTGTTGACTATCAATCTCTTCAGGTTTTGTTTTTTTTCTGTGAGGCTTGCAATGTTAGTATTCAACTGTTCTCAACAAATATGTCTAATAAAGAGAATAGAAAAAGCAAGCAACATATAGGTAGTATAATGAAAGATTGTAAGATTATATTCTTTCCTGATGAAAACTCCTACACTGATAACTATGTTATTCTACTGTTGGAAAAAGAAGGAAGAGTGAAATAAAGACTATTATTCTGAGTGATTTCGTATCATTAATAGCTTATTATTGGTTCGACTCGATAGCACATAACAACAACAATAATAGCTTATTATTACTTAAGTGGCCTTTTTCAATAAATCCTAATACCCTAAAACAATCATTGTATGTAGTAAATTAACTTATCTCCTATGTATCTTTTAAAGAATTGATAAAATAGTCACTGAAATAATTTTTTATAGAGCTTAATTGTTTTTCAGAACCTGGTGTAAGAAAGATTGACTTTGGAGATATGTGACATGTCTTTTTAGTGGGTATAGAAAGATACACAACACTAGGAAGGGTAACTGGCATTGTAAGAGAAATGTGGTTATTATAGTTATTATTAATGTTCTCATTGTAATATTATCAAGAAGTCCAACCATAAAGGATCTCAATTATTTCTTCCTGTATGTCTCATCGCTTATATATTTAAACTATATGCACACAAACATCAGTTTATTTCATTTGAGTTTACAGCTAAATGATTCCAATATATATAGAATCTTTTTTCCATTAATTTCTAGCTGTTTAAATGTCATATGTGATTTAAAACATCATTATGAGAGAGTATGCTGAAGTCCACCATATTCAGGAAATAGACTGATTCTTAGCCAGCCACAGTGACTAATGGAATATAACCATGAAGAAATACTAATTTTCTAGTGATTATATCATAATAAAAGGAGCTCTGGTGGTGCAGTGCCTGAGGCATTTGACTGCTAACCAAAAGGTTGGCAGTTCATACCCACCAGCTGCTCCACAGAAGGAAGATGGGGCAATCTACTTCCATAAATATTTACCACCTTGGAAACCCAAAGGAGGTTGCTATGAGTCAGAATCTACTGGATGGCAGTGAGTTTTGAGTTTATATCATAATAAAAGGAGCTCTGTTGAAGTAGTTGGTTAAGACATATGCCTGTTAACCAAGAGGTTTGTGGTTTGAACCCACCAGCCACTCCACAGGAGAAAGATGGAGTGGTCTGCTTCTGTAAAGATTTATAGCCTGGGAAACCCAGTGGGGAGTCGCTATGAGTCGGAATCAACTTGATGCTAGTGAGTTTGTTTTTTTAATATCACAATAAAATATATATTTGTTGTGATGATTTACTAGCACAGTGTAGTGTTTTATGAGTTATAAAGGTATTTTAGGATTTTATGCTATTTTTGATTGTTCTTAATTAGATATCATAATACAGATGTATTGATGTGCTAGGCCGTCAAGAATTTAATAAATTAATAAACTAACTTTCATTCATAAAATATTTAACTGAGTGGACTCTTCTGTACACAATGCAAATAAAATCGGTTGATTTTTGTTTTTATTTTTGTAGCCAAATGATTGTGTTAACACAAAATAATGTAAAAGTATTTTTCAAAATGTATGTATTTCCTTAGAAATCTTTCTTTTTTTCCCCCTCATCTTAGCTTCTACTGCTAAACCACCTAATGAAATTTTGAAAGAGGCAGACACGGATGTACAAGTTTGTCCTAATTATTCTATACCTCAAAAAACAGATTCTTATTTTAATCCCAAAATGAAACTAAATCGGTAAGATAAATTGAAGAAAGGGTAATGGGTATTTCAAATCATTCATATGTACCTTCTCTTAACTTTTATGTTCAAGTGCATTAAAATTGAAAACTAGACATGGAATGAAAATAATCCACCATTTTAGTATCATCTCAGAATAATTGTTTCTTTTCTCTTTTTTTTTTTTTTGCCAAACTAATTTCCCTCTCAGAGAGTAAAATAGGTCTAATGTTATATAATTAGCGAGCAGATTGGTGTTTTTGTGGGCTTGTTTTATTTATATAATCATTTATAGTGAATAATAGTTAATAGAACCCAAATAACTTCATAATTAAACAAAATTGTAGAACTTTAACTACTAAGTTAGGAATATGTTGTTAGATCTCTTTATAAAATAGTTTGTAACCAGAAACCCTAGTTCTTAATTCTGTTAAATGAAATAAAATCACCTAAATAGTGAAGCGGGAGCTCTAGCAGCATAGTGCCTGAGGCATTTGACTGCTAACCAGAAGGCTGGTGGTTCAAACCCACCAGCCACCCCTCAGAAGGAAGGTTGGGCTACCTACTTCCATAGTGATACCACCTTGGAAACCCAAGGAGGGATCTCTGTGAGTCGGATCCGACTCCACGGCCATGGGTTTGGTTTGGTGTTTGGTTAAATAGTGAAGCCATGATACAGTAAAATTATTTCAAATTATTACACTGCCTTCTAGACAGCTAATATTCTGTGCATTGGCTGCTTTGGCTGAGGAACGAAAACCTTTGGAATGTCTAGATGCCTTTGGAGCCACTGGTAAGTAATGAAGCCTTTTTAGAACTTCATTTTATTTCTTAGATTTCTGTAGTATATATATTTTTAGAGCATTTACATGGATAAATTCTTGCTTATTTTATCCCTTTGGTAAATACACTATGTTCTTCCTCCTGTATGTTTTGTAAATTGGTAGTTAGATTTTAAGGTTTGATTAGATTCAGATTTTTTTTTTTTTTTTTGGAAGACTAGTTTATAGATAGGAGCTCTGATGGCATAGTGCCTAAGGCACTTGACTGGCTGGCAGTTCAAACCCACCAGCCACTCCTCGGAAGGAAGGTTGGGCAGTCTGTTTCCGTAGTGATACTGCCTCGGCAACCCAAGGAGGGATCGCTGAGTCGGTCTGACTTGACGGCACATAACAACAACAACAAGTTTTTAAGTAGCAGTTTACTTCACTCAGAAGGTATCTAGTACCTCTCTTTTTGTTGTGTGATGATCATTGACTAGCCATTAGGCAGTGGGGTAAAGTGAAATTTTAAAAATTGAGAACATTTTTCCCAAAAGGATTTTGAAGGTAGATAAAATACAATGAAAAGAATAGAAAAAGTGTAAAAATCTACTTATACTAATCTGTCTTTCTTCTTAAATGTTATAGGAGGTACTCTTAAGAAGCTTGTACTAAAAGCTTTTTTTATTTAAAGATCTTTTTTGTTCCTTATTTCTAGCATCCCTGTGATTGCATTTTTTTTTATTGTGATTTGGGTGAAAGTTTACAGAGCAAATTCATTTCCCATACAGTAGTTCATATATACTTTGTCTCATGACATTGACTACAACTTCTCACAATGGAACAGCTCCCCTCTCACTTCCTCCCCATAGTTATCTCTTCCTTGTGTCCATCCCTCCATGTGCTCCTGACCCCTGCGCTGTCTCCCTGTGCTTATATAGCCCTTCTGTTCTCCCATGATTGTTCTCTCCAAGGAGTGTATCTACCTCAGGTAAATGTTCACCTCATATGCCTATCTTTTGTTTGGCTGAAAGTCAGAAGAGTGGGTTTAGTTCTAGACCTGAAGGGCAGCTAGGAGCCATAGTCTCAGGGGTTCCATCAGGCTCTATCAGACCAGCAAATCTGGTCCTTTTTTTTTTCAAATGATTTTGAGTTTTGTTCCACAAATCTTAGGAAGCTTGCACTAAAAGGGAAAAACCATTGATTAGTTCTTCCTCCTAAGCTCCTTTCCTCAGAGAAAAGTAATTGGTTAATAGCATGGACTATAGAGCTTAACTGCTTTGGGGTTCAGATTCTCATTTCATTATATAGCCACAGGAAACTGTTTCAAAATCCTCATCTGTAAAAAAGGGAGGAATAGTAGTACCTACCTTATAATAAAGGACAACACTTAAACATTCATCTTCCAGTTGAAAGGTTGATGGTTCAGACCTACCCAGTGGCTCCGCAGGAGAAAAGACCTGGCATTCTGCTCCTGTGAAGATTACAGGGAAGAAAACCCCCTATCACAAGGGGTCACTTTGAGTTGAAGTCAACTTGACAGCACAAAACAATAAAACTCTACAATAATGTGAAAATTAAGTAAAATAATACACGTAAAAAGAATTATCCCTGGTACATAGTAAATGCTGTAGAAGTATTAGGTATCAAAATTATTATGTTAGTACTAATTCCTATACTACTAGCAGCAGCAGCAGTGTCTCAGTGTAATATGGTAAAAGTGATAAAATGATGCTTCTAAGCATCTGAGCCACTCAAACTTGATATTTGAATAATTTTCAGTCTTCTTTTTCCCTCTTCTGTCCCCACATCCACTCAGTCACTAGGTCTGTTCTAATATTTCTTTCATAATATGACTAATTTTCTTTTTCCATACTATTATCCATCAATTATTTTTCTGACAGTAATCTCTAATTGGTACCCTTGCATCCAGTCATTTCTCTCCATTCCAATCTGTCTTGCATGTTATTGCCAAAGCAGCCTTCCCTCTGAAGAACTATGTTGATAATGTTACCCCTCAATCAAAAAATTCATGCTGCTTTGTTGCCTAAATAGAATCTAAACTTCTCAGACTACAGTTTAATAGCCTCCATAATCTGGTACTAGCTATAAACTTACCCAAATTTATTTCCCCGTGTTTTCCCTCATACAACCCTTTACCTCTATTCTTTTTACATCTGAAATCATTAATGTCTAGGAAAGATGTTTACAGCCTTTTTTTTTTTTTTTTAATGTGCCTTTATAAACTTACATCAGGTACATCAAGTCATTTTGCATGTTTCTTCATCCCTAAAATGAGGACATTAGAATTTATCTCACAGACTTGTGAAAATATGGGGAAAAAGTATATATAAAATCTGTATGATACCTACCCAACCCACTGCCATCAAGTCAGATCCAACTCACAGCGACCCCTCCTTGGATTTCCAAGGCAGTATCACTATGGAAGTAAATTGCCCAACCTTCCTTCTGAGGAGTGGCTGGTGGGTTTGAACCATCAGCTTTCTATAGCACATGATAGATACTATTTTTTTCTATTTATGCAGCATGTGCACAGAAAAGATAGTCAATACTACCAACACATAGGAGTTTTCTAGTCCATTTTCAATGGGTTTGTGACACCATCTCATTTTGTAATGAATGCTTCTTAGGGCTGTAATCCAGTAGGTGTGGAAAGCCTGTGAGAAAGGATTTTCCTGTTCTGAATTAACTGTGATCATTTGCTGAGTGAATAAAGTTGTTCTTCGTAATTCACAATGATACTGTTTGAAAAGTGTTAGTCATTGAAAGTTGTTTTCATATTTTGGTGCATGCAGGTAAAGTTTAACAGGAGGCATTTCAACTTCCCATCCTCCCTTTAAGCAGACCAACTCTGCTTTCACCCAAATTGTATACTGATTGCTCTTGAAGATTTTGTTTTTAAAAGAATTCCATTGTAAGAAAAACCAACAAAGAAAACAGTCACCACCACCTACTATTCACAAAATACAGAACTTATCTGGGTATTTTATTTAAACAAAGTTTTTTGGTTTTTTTTTTCCTTACATCTAGCATTCCTGTGATTGCATTTTTTCTTTTTTTTTTAATTGTGATTTGGGTGAAAGTTTACAGAGCAAGTTCACTTTCCATATAGCATTTCACATACACTTTGTCTCATGACATTGACTGCAATTTCCCACAATGCAGCAGCTCCTCTCCCACTTCCTCCCCATAGTTACCTCTTCCCTGTGTCCATCCCTCCGTGCATTCCTGACCCCTGAGCTGTCTCCTGTGCATACACAGCTCTTCTATTCTCCCATGATTGTTCTCTCCAAGGAGTGTATCTACTTAGTGAAAATGTTCCTTTTATATGCTTGTCTTTTGTTTGGCTGGAAGCCAGAAGAGTGAGTTCAGTTCCAGACCTGAAGGGTGGCTAGGAGCCATAGTTTCAGTGGTTCCATCAGGCTCTATAAGACCAGCAGTTCTGGTCTCCCTTTTTTTTTTTTCCAAATGATTTTGAGTTTTGTTCCACATTATTCTCCCATTTTATCCAGGATCTCCTACATAGATCCCCCTCTGAGTGGTTGACAGTGGTAGCTGGGCCTCATCTAGTTCTTCTGGTCTCATAGTCGTATAGGCTGAGGATTGCATGGTGTACCAGTCACTTAGACGGATTGTTTCCATGAATCTTTGGTTTTCTTCATTCTTTTTTGTTCTGGATGAGGAGAGACCCATTGTTGCATCTAGATGGCCGCTTGCAAGCTTCTAAGATCCCAGTCACTACTCAACAAAGTAGGATGTGGAACAATGATTTGTGTAGTATGTTACGCCAGTTGAGCTTGATGTCTCCTGTGATTATGGTCCCGAGTCCTCAGGTCCAACTACTTGCTCCCTCTGGGAAGCTGGCTGTGGCCAAGTGACTACAACCTTGTCCCTTGTCAGCTCTACTATATACCTGGGAATTCTTACAGAACATACCAATACACTTGTAGAACCATTGTCTGCCAACCCTGTACATGGTCTTAGACACACTCCTCCCTGCATGTTGTTGTTGTTGTTGTTGTTATGTGCCATTGAGTCAGCCCCGACTCATAGCGACCCCTCCTTGGGTTGCTGAGGCAGTATCACTACGGAAGTAGATTTCCCAACCTTCCTTCCGAGGAGTGGCTGGTGGGTTTGAACCACCAGCCTTCTGGTTAGCAGTCAAGTGCCTTAGGCACTATGCTACCAGAGCTCCTTCCTCCCTGCATAGCCATACCTAATAGTTCAGCCTGTCCACCCATATATCCACATTTGCCTTCACTGACAATGCAGTATTACATGCACAAAAGGGTTCATCTTTGTTGTCTGTACCTCCCATGTACCTCTCTCTGTCTTCCTCTTCCTCAGTACCACCATGTTGATCACTCACTTTGCCCTTCTTTTCACCCAAATCAGTACTTGTCTCTACCTATCTAACAGTGTTCCCTCCCCTCTCCTCCCACCCCTGGTAACCAACAAAGAGAATTTCCTTCCATATATAAACCTTTCCTTGACTTTTTACGATAAAGGACTAATACAGTATTTGTCCTTCTGTCCTTATTTCACTCAACATAATGTCCTCCAAGGTCATCTACGTTACACAGTGTTTTGCAGGTTCTGTGTTATTCTTTGGGGCTACATAGTATTCCATCGTGTGTATGTACCATAGTTTGGTTATCTGTTCTTCAGTTAATGGACACCTAGGTTATTTCCATCTTTTAGCTATTATAAATAGTGCTGCAATGAACATGGGTATGCTTATATCTGTTCTTGTCCTGGCTCTCACTTCTTTAGGATATATACCTAGTAAAGGAATGGCTAGGTCAAATGGTATTTCTAATTCCAACTTTTGAAGGAATCACCATACTGCTTTCCACAGTGGTTGTACCATTTTACAGTCCGTCCCACCAACAGTATATGAGAGTCCCAATCTTTCTGCATCATTGCCAGCATTTGTTACTTTCTGTCTTGTTGAACTTTGCTACTAGTATTGGGGCAAGATGGTATCTCATAAACAAAGATCATTTTTAAAGTTTTCTAAGTATTAAAAATATTAAGCACATTTTTTCAAACAGACTTTTTAGAGCTGTTTTAGGTTTACAGAGAAATTGTTCCGAAAGTACAGAGTCCTGATATGTCCCCTCTCTCCCTTGCAGTTTCTTCTATTATTAAAATCTTGTACTTGTGTGGTACAGGTGCTATAATTGATGAGCCAATATCGATACATTATTTTTAACTAAAGTACATAGTTTATATTATGGTTCTCTCTTTGTATTATAAGGTTGTGTGGATTTTGACAAATGTATAATATCATGTGTCTGCCAATTTAGTATCATACAAAATCGTTTCACCACCCTAAAAATGCTTTCTATTCATTCTACACCCCTTCCTCCTCATCTCCTGGTAACCACTAATCTTTTTAATGTCCTTACGCTTTTTTGCCTTTTCCATAATGTTACATAATTGGAATCATACAGTATGTAGATTTTTCAGGCTGGGTTCTTTGACGTAACAAAGATTAGTAGACTGTATATATGAGTGTGGCTGGTTTCTCTGTTCCATTCTCTCTTTAGATCTATTTGTTTATGTCTTTGCCAATATCACACTGTCTTAATAGGTTTATAGTTAAGTCTTAAAGAGCTTCATTCTTCTTCAGAATTGTGTTGGCTATTCTAGTCTTTTGCCTTTCTATATAAAATTTAGAATCTTTTTGTGGATATCCACAAAATAACTTGTTAGGATTTTTATTAGGATTGTGTTGAATTTGTAGATCTTGTTGGAAATAATTGACACCTTAATAATGCTAAGTCGTCTTATCCATAAACCCACCACCCGTCTGTCAGTTTGTCGTACTGTGGTGGCTTGCGTGTTGCTATGATGCTGGAAGCTATGCCACCGGTATTTCAAATACCAGCAGGGTCACCCATGGTGGACAGGTTCCAGCGGAGCTTCCAGACTAAGACAGACTAGGAAGAAAGGCCTGGCAGTCTACTTCTGAATATTAGCCAATGAAAATCTTACGGATCACAACAGACTATTATCTAATATAGTGCTGTAAGATGAGTTCCCTACATTTGAAGACTTGTACAGTAGCTGCAAAAATGGACTCAAACATACCAGTAGTCATGAAGATCACACGCTATGCTTCATTCTGCTGGAGCCAACTCAGTGGCAACTAACCACTTCCATGAACATGGGATATCTCCCCATTTATTTAGCTCTGTGATTTCTTTCATTGGAATTTTGTAGTTTTCCTCATATAGGTCCTGTATGTATTTTTTACATTTATACCCAATCATTTCATTTTTTTGTTGATAGTATAGGGTTGTATTTTTAGTTTTAATTTCTAAAATTTATTTTGATCCCTTTTCCTGAAAAGCTTTGTTGTAAGAGAGTAGCATAAGAATTATTTATGAAAATACTTTTTGAAACAACTTATTTTTGTTATTTATAAGTTCTTTGTTGTCATCATAGTCTTATTATTTAATTATTACAGTTTAAAAACTCATTTTCCTCCCCATTTCTCCTAAGGGATAATGGGATTACAATGGGCAAAGCATCTTGGAAATGCAGTAAAGGTTACAATTAATGACTTGAATGAAAACTCTGTGACATTGATCCAGGAAAACTGCCATTTAAACAAATTAAAAGTAGTGGTGGACAGTAAGGAAAAGGAAGAGAGTGATAATGTTCTTGAAGAAGGAGAGGAATACCTTGGTAATATTAAGGTGACGAAAATGGATGCCAATGTACTGATGCATTTGAGATCTTTTGATTTCATGTAAGTGAAAAAGAATTTCTTTGTTACTTTCTAAAGTGATCTTTTATTTCTTGTTTGTTTTTAATTAAGATAGTTTCTTGTTGTTTTTGTTGTTTATTTAATGCAGTTTTTGTCTTTAGCCTAAAGAAAGCACTAAGAAATTTTCTAGCATTTGAAATAAAATTCATGACACTTTTCCTCTAAACTAATTTTTACATATACATGTGATCAGTTTATTACTTACTTTAAAATCAGAATTATTTCTCTAAAATAGATTTGTAAAATAATTTTGAATCCATGAAATTTTTTCATTAGCAAGAATTACAGTGATATAATTTTGATTATTAATGATTTCAATATGTATGTATTCTTTTGATCCTAGACATCTAGATCCTTTTGGAACATCAGTGAACTATCTAGATTCTGCTTTCAGAAATATAAGAAACCTTGGCATAGTGTCAGTGACTTCTACAGATATCAGTTCTTTATATGCCAAAGCACAACATGTTGCCCGGCGTCACTATGGCTGTAACATTGTCCGAACCGAATATTACAAGGAACTAGCAGCCAGAATTGTTGTAGCTGCGGTAGCAAGGTACCAAATTACCAACATGTACCTCATATGTTTTGGTATATGATAAAAAAAAAAAAAAATATTACAAAAAGTGCTTATCTCATTTTTCAAACTATGCTCAAAATATAAATTCTATATTCATATCTGTAATCTTAATACGTTTGCTAATCTTATAACTGTTCGAATTTGATTTAAAAACTTACGCTTGATAAGAGTTGAACATGTACCTGAGGTAGATACACTCCTTGGAGAGAACAATCATGGGAGAAAGAAGGGCTGTTTATGCACAGGGAAACAGTTCAGGGGGCCGGAGTATATGGAGGGATGGACACAGGGAAGGGGTAACTATCGGGAGGAAGCGAGAGGGGAGCTGTTGCATTGGGGTAAATTGTAGTCAGTGTCATAAGACTACGTGTGTGTGAACTGCTGTATGGAAAGTGAATTTGCTCTGTAAACTTTCACCCAAATCACAATGAAAAAAAAAAGAAAAAAAGCTTATGTTGAAATACTTACTTTACTCTAACTTAAAATGGCATTAAAAAGTAAAGTAGTGAGAAAGAAAATAAAAAATTAAAGTTCGAAACAGTTTATTCCAACAGTGTAGGGTAGGTGTGGGATAATATGAAAAAGGAAAGCAAAATACTGTTTTTAGATTTAGAAACAATAATTTGTTTCACGTCCATTTCATATTTATGTGCAAAGTTTAATTAAAATGATGGCTTACACACTTGACTCTGCAAAATTATATTATCTATAAAATAAAAAGTTCTTGCTGTATGGAAAGTGAATTTGCTTTGTAAATTTTCAAACAAATCACAATTTAAAAAAAAAAACACTTCTCTTTTTTCATCAGAATTTCTAAACAATTGAAGATTCAAGAAAGATTTTTTTTTGAGTATTCATTATTTGTAGAAGTTGATGCTAAAAGATAAGAGGAACCACCTGACTCTGCTTTTTTTTAAAGAGTTTATGATCTAGTTTGAACATTTGGAAAATCGTTTGCCTTTATTTACAGGAAATAACATCCCGATACATTATCAGTTCTTTCAATTTTTTAATACCATTATAGTTCTAAGGACTATTGGCTAGGTAACAGTAGATGTGTAAGCTCACATGGAATGTAAATAATGGATAATCAGCCAGCTCATTCGTTAGCTCCAACATTAGTTTCACAGCATTTAGATTGCATTTTCTACCTCAGCATAAATGCACATAATTAAACTTCATACACCTTCAGGGTTATGCCTAATTAACTGAAAACTCTGATGTAAAAAATGTTTACATACCAAAGACCTACTGTATGTGTTCTAAAATGTTTATAATATAATACAATAAATACAACTTAATATATATGAAATAGGTTTGTTGTTAAGTGCCGTCGAGTCGTTTCCAACTCATGGCAACCCCACGCACAGCAGAACGAAACACTGCCCGATCCCGCGCCAGCCCCACAGTCCCTGCTATACTTGAGCCCATCATCGCAGCCACCGTGTCAATCCATCTCGTTGAAGGCCTCCCCCTCTTTCGTCAACCCTCCACCCTA